GGAACCAATCTGCCAAAATTAAAAACTTTAATATAATTTGCAATTTCTGAAAGCATCGAAGTCCCAGTTACATCACGAATAACCACATTAGTTTGATGATTATTTGCTAGAAACCTACGTGAATCAACTAACATTTTCTTGATTTTACTGCCATAAATTTCTAGCGAGCACAATTCGTTAACACTATTTTCGATATCCTGAATCGATGTGTTCCGTATCAGTATGTTTGTGTTCATATTATCCGAATTTTCCATTGCAGCAGTCAAGTCGTTTACTTGTTTCTTATAATTATTGAGCAAATGCTCCAGTTTATCTATTGTTTGCTTGTTATTAGCTTCGCCCTTTTCATTTTGAATAAGATACTCGATGTAGCTTACGTACCCATCATTAAATTGTGCCAGAGCGTTTCGTTTTAAAAAACACGCAAACTTGGCCATGCACCTTGATATTGTAGCCTGCTCCTTCCATAATTGGTCAATACGAATTTTGATGGCATCGATTTGTTTTAATTTAGCTTCGGACGCGTCCTTGGCCGATATGATACTTTTGACCACGCTCTCATCGATTATATTTATGACCATGCGTTCATATTGCTTATTAATATATTGGTGTTCCCGGTAGTTATGTTTGCACTTGTCGCAGTTTTCGCTCCAACCGATAAACCGTTTAAACATTTTGCAAGTGAGCATGGCTTTATCGCCGATGACTGTTTTCGGTGTAACCTTTAGCGTGCATGGTGAATGGCATATCTTATAAACCCTCTTACCCCCATCCCCACGCCTAACACAGCATCCATTTGCTGTACACAATAAACGCGGTTTGTCCAGGTCAATTTCAACTAGCTCCTCCCTCGGGGTATACAGTTTGTCTGTTAGCTCCATAATAGTGCCCTTGAATTCTTCGATAGATTTCTTGTGGTCGTCGCAAAGGTTTTGGTTATCGGATATGGTTTTTGATATTTCGGCCAAAGGTTGGGTTAATAATAGGATCTGTTGTTTTGCATTGTTTAAGGATAAAGTATCTTGAACTTTATGTGGCTTTAGCGACACGATGCGTTTAAATAACCGTTTGCATTCATTAACTGACCTAAATTGATTTTAAAATATAAATTTAGAAAGCACAACTATAATACTTGTGGTGAACTGGAAAAACTAAGTTGGTAACGTTATTGTGGTGTGTATAATGTGCAAATATTACTTAAATTATCTCAAACCTTATATCAAATGTATATAAATGTTTATATTATGTTATGGGTTAGTAAAACTAGATTTACTGGACTAGTTTATTACAATTGCCCAATACTTGTCAACTATCTTTTTCGACATATAGTTTAACTAAACTCATATCACTTACCCTGCAGAATTTATTCACACTTAAAATGGTTCCAAAAAAGGTTTGTTTGTTACTAACCTATTCCAACTCATTGAATATTGGCTGATTTCATGTTGGCTAAAATTCACGTTATTCGAGGTAGCAGTAGCCGCCAGATAACGGAACGATTCGTTATCGAAACAATAGATGGTATCCTTATTATGTTTGATATCAACGTTTGGAGGATTGTTACGCAGGGTATCCAGAAATTTCACCAAAGCTGGTCCACTATCGCCTGGGCGATAATCAGTACCTCGGGCATTTGTGTATAAGAACATTATGTTATCAGCGGCAGACATATTCAAATGACTGAACAACTCATATAAACAGTATTTGAATATCACGTCAACCCTCGCGTTATTAGGCTTCAAGAGAACACAAATGCCGTTAATTTCGCGATAATTTCTAATAAAGTCCAACAGATTTTCCATATTTTCTTTATCATTCTCTATTCCACTCGTGTCAGCGATGCCCGGGGTATCGATTATGTTTATAACAATATTATCGCATGAATATTTATAACACCTGGGATATTGGGTTACCGATTGTGTTGTATCCGATATATTTTCATTATCATCATCCATTACATGTCGTTTAAGTTAACATACAACGAGTGAAAGTAGTAGTTTTATCCCTTTAAAGTGACCATAAACCGTTTGTCCAGGTGGAGAAAACCGGAGTAGGTATCAGAGCATTCAGTATATTAACCGTTAACGCAAGATGAATGTGGATTTTCCCACACCCGTAACACCCAAAAGTAGCAGGGTTATCTCGTACCTATGCTTAATTTCTTCATACTTATGCTTAATTACTGGTTCCTGTTTTTGTGATTGCCATAGTTTTCTGTTATTTGGTTTCTTTGCAACTTTTGGTGCAATGTGGTCAACAGGCTTATGATTTATTTTAAAGGTGCATGGTGGTAAATTAACCAAACTTTCTAATAGGCGGAAGCCTTCTTCCTTTGATCTATAAAAATAAATTATAATTAAATGTAAATTAATATTAATAATTTCTTATAAACTAACATAATCAAAGTATCAGATTTGCGATTAATTGTTTAATGTAAATTATTAATATGAATTACCTAGTCCAAGATATTATAGTAACTGGTTTCAGTGAACTATTCAACGGCATATTATAATGCGAACGGGGTGCCAAGGTAATTTCGTAGAATTCTTTATTAAAACAATAAGTATTATTATTCTTGAAATAAATAACCTTGTCACAACCAATAAATTTTTTAAGTATCTTATTGTAGACCATGGCATATTCGTACGTAATTTGAGAAATTGGAAATATATATAATAAATTCTTACTGAAATCAATATTTAAATGATAAGTGAGCTTTAGCAAATAATTTTCAAATATGTAATTAATGTTTGAATCATAAGGTTTTAAGTGAAAACAAATGGCGTTAATTTCACGATAATTGCTTATAAAGTCCAATATATTTCTCAAATTTATATTCAAATTATCTAGACTTTCCGTATCGGAAATATCGGGGGTATCGATGATATTGAGCACAAACCTGTCGGTTGAATGTCTATAACAACTAGTTTTACTAATTGCTTGAAATGTGGGTCTGACATAATTTGGCATCATAGGTTGGAAATTATTAGGATCAAACATTTGTAATTTTTCATCAAATTTTATTGTAATTGGTTGTCTCATCGCCATATATATACTATCGTGAGTAATATAATTGACAAATGCGTTGATGAATGAGGACTTTCCCCCTCCCGACTCACCCAATAATAGCAAAGTTATTGTAGTTTTTGAGTTAGCCTGTAATAATATAAATGAAGTAAATTATTTTCAAATTTAAAAAAAATTAGTTTATAAATATACCATTTTAATCTGTGAATATGATGTTGTTTCTTTTGCCTAATTATTTTTAGTTATTAGCCTTGAAACCTTTTAATAAGTTGTATAATTAATGTTTTGTTATAACTAATTTAAAACTAACAATGCACATAACATAGTAAAATACTAAAATATTGAGTTGGAAACTAAGTTCGTTCAAAGTCGTTATTTTAAAAACTACATTGATTAAAAATAATTTGAAAATATACTTTTTCATATTTTCATTGTCTTTCTGTACTCCAATGGACAGACACATATTTGTAAGGGGCTGGTAGCTTTTAAGTATTATGCTCTAGGTAAAAACTATAAGTCCTAGAGTGAATCTGAGAACACTATTGGGAAGAGCGTAAAATTCTACGGATACATGGTGTCAATAGTTTGTATCCAAACTTAATGGTTAGAGCACAGGGAGGCCGGGTATTTTAACAAATCACATTTTAAATTAATCAATATGTGTATAGCAAAGTTATGACATGGAAAATGTAGAGAATTAAATTCTCTATCATATAAAAATTAAAAATATTTTGTTAATTTGTAGCACCGGGAGGAAAGAGATGTATTTTATAGCGGGAAAACTACAAGTCTTAGC